TTTCCACCTTCAGAATATTGCTAAGATTAGAAGCATCCTTTCCAGGAGTGATGCTGAAAAACTAGTTCATGCATTTATTACATCAAGACTGGATTACTGTAATCCATTACTCTCAGGAAGTCCACAGAATGTAGTTTAAAGTCTTCAGCTTGTCCAAAATGCTGCAGCTAGAGTTCTGATGAGAATTAAAAAGAGAGATCATATCTCTCCTGTCTTAGCTTCCCTACATTGGCTACCTGTTAAATTCAGAATAGATTTTAAGATCCTCCTTCTCACATATAAAGCTCTTAATAATCAAGCTCCATCAAACATCAGTGATCTGATTGTTCCATACGTTCCTAACCGAGCACTTCGCTCTCAGACTGCAGGTCTACTGGTGGTTCCCAGAATATCTAAAATTAGGATGGGAGGCAGATCTTTTAGTTATCAGGCTCCTCTCTTATGGAACCAACTCCCAGCTTTAGTCCGTGAGGCAGACACCTTGTCTACTTTTAAGAATAGGCTTAAAACATTTTTATTTGATAGGGCCTATGGTTAAAATCTGATGTTGGCCTAGATCTGGACAAGTGGGGCAGTAGAGGGAGGTGGAGTGTACAGTCGGTAAAGACGGCTCTCCCTTGCCCTGACTCCAACATGCCTCCATCTGAATAGGATAGATTATCCAGAGTTATCTCTGTAGTTATGCTGCTATAGGCTTAGACTGCTGGAGGACACACTGACCACTTTCCACACTCGACTACTTTCTTCTACAATCTGATCTTTAACTGTATTATTTCCTGCTATTTCAGCTGTTAACTTTATTTTCTCTCTAAGTGTTTTTCTCCCCAGAAGAAGCTACAATGACGTTCTGCTGAGCTGTGGTGGCCTCATGGAGGGGGCCATCGTCTAGCACACTGCTGCTAACCATTTAAACATTCTCCCTCTCCTGATAATAACTTTTTACTTTCCTTGACATTGAATGTGCTAATACTAGTTTACCCGTTTAATTATAGATTCACTAGGATAAATACAATAAAGTTTATCTCTCACCAAATAGAATATTTACTAAGAAATCACAATGTAACCATAGAAACACTACTTGGTGTGTGTGTGTGTGTGTGTGTGTGTGTGTGTGTGTGTGTGTGTGTGTGTGTGTGTGTGTGTGTGTGTGTGTGTGTGTGTGTGTGTGATCCCCAGTGAGTCGTGAAGGATACTGAGCCAGGATCCTCTGGAGTTTTCCTCTCCACTGGCGCTGCATGCTTGCTTAGTATGAGGATTGCTGTAAAGACTCTGACACTAGTCAGTGACTTGATGCAATTTGCTGGGTTCCTTATATAGGAAACTTTTTTCTGATTGGCTTAATGACCTGACCTGGATTGGAACGTTTATTATGTGAAGTGCCTTGAGACGACTCTTTGGTGCTGTATAAATACACTTGAATTGAATTGAATTGAATTTCGTAAAGATAGTTAAACTGTAATTTTGAATCTTAAGGAAACCTTTCTAGCGGTCACACTTTATAGCGTGATGGCTGCAAATTAATTATGACCAATAAGATGTGTTGATTCCATATAAATATGAAATATCAACCTGATCTTTGGATGTTTAATCAGAAGATTATAGTTACTTTTACTTGTTCAGGGACCATAAACACACTTGGTATTAATTCGGACAGATTCACGTATATAGTTAAAAAAGAATTTTATTCTTTTCCAAACTAACGAATATACATGACAAGATATGAAAAATGAGATGTGATGGAGCGGATATGCGGTGATGGAGTGTGATGTGTAGGTGGTGTGATGTAAGCTAAATGTTTATCTGAATCTTTGTATCTGAAAGAAATTGTGAAATCTGGATGTAAAAGAATTTGTTGTCTGCTATGAACTAGAGAGTTGATTATTAATAAAACTGTATCAGACGCGATCTGCTGTGTCTACAAACCCTGGCGGAGACCCCCCGCAGATCCGGACAGTCAGAAGTCAGATGGACCTCACAGCACTGGGATTTCGTAGATTAAACTCCGATACGACCCGTCCAGTCTTGAGATGTCTCCAGGTCACAACAGTAGCTGGAATGCTTGTTCGCGTCCTTAGTGGATGTGACTCTTAGGGAGCCGTCTGGCTGTGTCAGCTTGCAGCGTGCAAACTGGTTGACTGTATGTCAAAAGAGATGTCTCAAAAGAGGCTTCATTCCCGATTTGGTCCGTATCTTTAATAACAGGCTAGGAAGATACTAGCTGCCACCAGCTGCTAATGCTACACATGGCTGTAACTGGAGCATCTACCTCAGGGGTGTCAAACATGCGGCCCGCGGGCCGCGGGCCGGCCCGCAAGTGGGTTAAATCCGGCCCGCGAGATGGTTGTGTAAACTTTATTTTCATACTTTACAATGTAGAGTGAAAATAAACGTATCTTTGTGAGCAAGTTTCCTCTGTAATGAGTATAAATAAAACAAAGCTGCGCTCAAGGCTCACACAAGAACTTGAATCACATCCTGAAGTTGGCCGCCACTCAGGATGTGACTTCTGATGTTGATGTGCTGGTGAAAGCTAAAAGATGTAAAGTAAAATGAGTCAAATATACTTTAAGTGCTGCATGAAACTGATCTAGCCATGTGATCTGTAAACTCTTTGAATCACTAAGGAATGTTTTTTTAATTTATTGATTTTTTTTTTCTCAAATTTTCAAGTACATCTCAGGTGTTGTACTTGTACTATTTTGGATACACTGTCCTCAGGCTCCAGCCTTGTTTTATATTGATTGTATTAAAACAAAGAAAACAATCTGAAGTTTTTTTTTTTATTTACCGGTCCGGCCCACTTGGGACTAGATTTCCCTCAATGTGGCCCCTGAGCTAAAATGAGCTTGACACCCCTGATCTACCTTCTGTGGAGCCAACCAATCAGCAAGCAGCTCATTATCATATTTATGTCCTGGCTGAGTGGGAAGGGTAAACATTTCTTTTCAGTAAAGGGCGATATCAGGGCTCCGGAGACAGATGAGAGCCAAAAGTAAATGTTTTAAGCTTTTTAGAGGCTCAAAGCACAGTTTTAGAGTGCTGATTAACTGCACTCTAGGTCCCCTTTAAATCCAAATTACTGGTAAGTTTGTTTGATTTTAATTAGGTATAAACGCCATGTTACAGCACTGAGTTAGCTGCTGAAAACGTTAGCACTCTGAAAGCGCAGAAGTGATCTGCATAGCAAACTACCTTTTGCTGCCTGCCTCATATTACACTTGAAAACCAAATGAATGCCTCTCACAAGCCTGGAAGCCTGTTTTATTTTAGGTTGGTTACGTCAGCACTCTGAAGCCATTAGCAGTGAGGACACGTGAAAACAGAATAAAACTGTTAACCTGTGGTTTTTATGGCTGTTTCTAAGCAACTGTGTAATAAAACACTCGGTAAGCTCTTACCTGTTAGAAAGTGACCGCTGTAAACTCCAGCGTTGGCCATTTCAGCTCCTGTTTAATGCCGTAGATTACCGATCCACTTCGGCTACATTCAGGACTTGGACTTGCTTGTCTTTGTCCCGGTTAGAGTGATTGTAAAAACTGTACGCCACATAGAACTTCTGCATTTTAACGCCCAGTCACCAAAGTAAATAGGGTTTTGTGTCGCGCCGGCCACTTCCGGACCCCCATCTGCATTTGGTGATGTAGATGCAACGTCATGTGAAAGCCAGGAACTCTGTTCTATAAGTGCTCCGTTATTCATAATCCTAGAGAGTATGCCCGCTCATGGTTAAAGTGGGAGTCGAGGCATGGGTGGAGACGTAATTCATCCACACTTCCTGTTAGGAAAACGCTTCTGTAAGAGGCTGGCGGACTGAGAGAGCGACACTGAGGCAGGTATTGATGGCACCCCCTCAACCCTCCCGCGTGTGCCGTCGGGAGTCTAAAAACGCGTTGTTAACGAACACGTGCGCACTCGCGCGTGCACACAAGCACCCACTCACAGTAGACTCACCACTCAGGAGAAGAGCAGACACAGATTCTGCAGCGTTCTGGAGGATTTCCTGTTAACAATCATTAGATGAAATGGAGAGGAGGGGGTTTTCTTCAAGGAGGCGAGCGGCTCAGAGCGCCAACGTGTCATATATGCAAGTGAGTGGCTGAGGCAGGTGGAGGTGCGGCTGCCTCACCTGGAGACCAGTGCGGTGCAGCCACGTAGTACTTTGCTGACATCGTCACGTTTTTCAGCGTAGCCATCAGCCACAGCTGGTTCTATATAAATGTGGAGCAGAGTTTTAACCTGAAGACGGAGATAGAACTATGGGTTTGGGGCTGAAATATTAAATTTAGAGTAAGTTGCACTAAACTAATGATTACACATGTGTACAGCACCATTAGACACTCATCTATACAGGTTATCAGCTAAAACAAGTTCATCTAGGTGTGACTGGCTCTTTAATCAGAGCTTCTTCTTCCGGCTCTTGGAGGGTGCAGACGCTTTTTCCCTCCTCTCCTCCATATCTTATCCTCAAGGCCTTTGTCTGTCTGTGTGTGCTGGGTGCACGGCTGCTTCTGCGTTTTTTCTGGAAACTGGAAACTGAAATTCACTAAAATGGATCTCGTCAGTTGGTCTCTCAACGCGATTGATAAAATATTTTCAACGATGAGAACGGGAGAAGGGGCTCCCGGATGCCCCTCTGGGACAGACCCAGTTGGACACATCATGGACTCCTGGAAACAGTGGAACTTGATTTGTTTATCTCAGCTGTCTGTGGAGGACTCTGAAGACGTGTGGATATTCGTGGTGTTGGTGTCAGGTTTCCTGCTCATTGGCCTTGGAGGCCGCCTGGCTTACAGGAAAATTAACGAGATGTCGAGGAATATTGGCCTGATCCCGGAGCTCAGAGATGGATTGCACCAAGCTGTGAATTCACAGACTCACATAACTGTCGAGATGAATCGTAAGCTTGGAACTTTGGCGGAGATTCATTCTTTGGCACAAAAGATGGATGCCATCAAGGATAGAGTGAACGAATCAGCACGGATTGGGATAGATTAACGTCCATTACTATTGGGATTCGGAGAGGTGAGGATCAACAACAAACTGTAAGACAGAGAGGAAATTATCTCTGTCTGGCCCCAAAACAATTTCTAATCGGAATCTGGCGCCCTTGAGCCTGCAAGGCTCCAACGAAAACCCCCCCTCAGAAGATATGTGGAATGTGCCGTCGCTATGGCAACTCAACTCTGTCTCCTTTCCCAGCCTGGGCGGGACTGCAGGAAGGCCGATGAAACGTTCCAGGGTCACTGCAAATCTCCAACCCTCAATGCTCCTCCCCTTTATCCACACTGAGGTGACATGCGCTGCTTATCGTGGCTGCAGGAGCTGAAGTGGGGATAGTCCCAACCCACCACCCCACCTAGTGGACACTTATGTTGTGTAATGTCTGAAGTCTGTTGCATCTCTGTCTGAGGTGTTTTTTTTTTTCAGAGCAAAGCTGCCCTCCTGGTGGGAGGGTAACTCTGAAGTGCCTTTTTTCCCTCCACCTGAACCAATCCTCATGTAACCCTCTTATCTCTATTAAGGCAGCGTGACTCAGGGTTGCGAATGACCACAGTCACCAATTCTTGTCATGTGTCTTTGCCTATGTATGTGTGATCTCTGAATTGTGTGAACTGAAACTCTAATTTCCCTCTGGGATTAATAAAGTATCTTTGATTTGATTGACTGATTTGGCAGTGTGGCAGAAGTGATTTTAAAACTTAGGCTGAAGTAGCGCTTGTTACTCCCATATCCAGTGTGGCAGTGGAGCACAGACTCATCCAGAACAACTTTAAAACAGCCACAAGTCTGGCTGACGCAAAAGTCCAGAACCTCCTGATTACCGCCTCTCCAGGAAGCCCCGTTAAGACATTTGACTACGCACAAGCAGGTGACCAGTTCACGTCTTTTCCTGCATTGTTCATACATTACTGGGGCACTCAGGTCAGCTCATTTGTATTAAATATGAACTAAAATGAATGAAAATTAAACGTTATTGAATGTTAACTTGTTTTTCCAGAAATGAAAGTGACGGAAAAAAAGATCATGACAGTTCTTTAAACCCTGTCGGTCAAACTGACGGACAACAAAAATGTCTAGTGCGACCTCTGACTAACACTGATGGAGACTGGATTTGAACCAGCAACCCATGTGTTATGTGTGAACCCCTAACCTCAGTGCCACTGTCGCCCCTCATGGTCACGACAGGCTGAAAATGCAACCATGTGAGACAGAACCCATGAAGGTCAGCGTCGTCCCCACATGGACAGTGTGTCCCTGCCTCAGGCAAAGTCACAGCTGAATCCATTTAGTGATTTATTCCACCGTAAAAATAACTGAGCGGGATGCTAAGAGACAGACTATTATGGGCTGCACAGTCCTCAGAATCAGCACTGCTGAAGGGAACCGATCATCATTGCATCTGCTGTTTCACACCAACAGGTGTCCACACCTGTCTGGTGTGCTAAAGCCCCTGCATCGCGTAACTAGAGCACAATGTTTAGGAGCAGCTGTGACCTTCGTTAAAACAGAGGGCGGATGATTACATCCAAGTGCATCACAGCCAGTGAGGACAGAGGAAGACGTGACCAATGGTGTACTGCAGACCCAGAGTGTTCTGAGGAGGATCCGCTCACCTTTTCACCACTCCAACCTCAGTCCACTCATTTCCCATCAACTCCTCTTCTATCTTCCAAGATCAGGGGTATTCAATTCCAGGCCTGGAGGGCATGTTTAGTGGTTCCTCTGCTCCAACACACCTGACTCAGTGGTTGGATCACCTGTGCAGCAGCTCATCAGGCTCTGCAGAAGCCTGCTGATTAAAATCAGGTGTGTTGAAACAGAGTTAAAACCACAACATGCTGGATCGAGGCCCAGAACTGAATAACCCCGTCCTAGATGATTATGCTGTCATCATCCTGGGACCAGCTAGTGTTCCTCGTCCTTTCCTTTGTTCCGCTGTAACACAGATTCTGTCAGGATACATCATGGGCACTCAAGTGTTACTAAAGCTAACTGTACACCTTCATCATTCAGCCTCAGAACGTCCACGTTTGGGTCTGACCCAAGTTTGAAAGTTTAAGTTCTCAATCAAAAAGCAGAAAGTTCAGTCAGCCAACAAGCCTGTTCTCTAACTAACCGATCAGGTTCATCAGGGTTAGTGGATAAAAATAACTGAGTATCGTCAGCAGCCGGAGCCCGGCGGACATTCCACACGTGATCATGACTGGGGCTGAACGATTTAGGAAAATAATCTAATTGCAAATTAATTCACAAAAATTTTTTCCGTGTCCAATCCTGGTCCTCGAGATCTCCTACCCAGCATCTTAGGCCCTGTCCACACGTAGCCGGGGATCTGCCAAAACGTAGATATTTTTCTACGTTTTGGCCTGTCATCCACACGAAAACGGAGTTTTTCACACGAAAATGGATCTTTTTAAAAACTCCGGCCAAAGTGAAGATCTGCGTTTTCTCCGTTTTGGGTGTCTGCGTGTGGACGGACAAAACCGGAGTTTTAAGGTCCGCAACGTCACTTTCCGCGACAAAAAATGCTGACATCACGTGTGCGACCTGTGTTTACACTAGCCGACAGCATGGATGCCCTCAGAGCTGCGCTCGCTTTATCAATAGTCCAAGCGCTTTCTGCTTGTTTGTTTTTGCAAGAGGAATTACTGCTCCTTGCGGAAGACCACAGACGAAGGACGAGGTTAAGAACGGGGGAAGTACTGCCGCCTATAGGTCTGGCATGTCCTTAACAACGTATTTATCCGGGTACGTGTGGACAGAGTTTGTTTTTAAAACGAGGTGGTGTGGATGCAAGTTTCTGGAGGGGCGGATATTCGTTTTTAAAAAAAACCAGCTACGTGTGGACTAGGCCTTATAGAAGTTTCCCTGTTTCCACACGCCTGATTTGAATCAGTGGTGATTAGTGGTGTTCTGCGGAGCCTGAGTAGTAGTAGTAGTAGCCACTGAATCAGCAGGGTGAGATATAAAACAAGCTGGATAGGAGATCTTGAGAACCAGGATTGGTTAATAATAGGGCCAGGAAAATTAGCGCATTAATTATTAGCGTTAATTTTGTTATTTTAACGTGTTAAAAGTAAATGACGCAATTAATTTGACCATCTCTCCAACCCGGAGCCACCATTCTCCAAAATGGCTCCATATTTCCTCCTGGACAATATTGCTAACCATCATTTACTGAGCCTGAAACAAGATGGTTTCTACCCATATTATGGACTCAGCATCGAGGATTCTTCTGAGCGGAGAAGATGAACCGAGGCAGAGCGCTCATGCGCTCCATCAGCATCAGCCTCTTGCGCTCGGCCACAGTAACATCCTCAAAGCGGCGCCACCAAAATATGTTTAACACACGATCATTCATAACTGCTTCGGTACTTTCTGTCTTTTGTTGGTGGCTGACGTGCATCTCTGCTGCGCTCATCATCCGTGCTCCACGGCCGCGGCCAGGCAGATGCAGGACCAGAGACAGACAGGACAACGTAGGTGGATTTATTTATCCCATTACATGTTTTAACGTTATAAAGTAAATATCATTTGTGAGCTCATAATATTCATATATTCCATACAATTCAGATCACCTTTAAAACTCCGACCCACCCAGGGCCGTATCAAAGCATTTGGGGGCCATGCCAGCGAGGTGTCCCTAATTCAATTGATGCTGTGGAAAATGACATTTACATTGAACAACATAAGCTAACTGTGCTAGATTATTTCCTGTTCATTGTTTACACACTAGAAGAAGAAGAAGAAGAAGAAGAAGAAGAAGAAAGTATCATTTCTATAGCGCCTCTCAAGATAAAAATCACACGAGGCGCTTCACAAAAACAAAAAATGTAAAAATAATAAAAAAGAATTTAGAAAATGTTTAAAAATATATTTAAAATGAGCAAAAATAGGCAATTGTGATTAAAAATGTTAAGAAAGAGAGCGAGTGAACAGGAAAGAGGGAAATCAGTGGATCCTGAGGAAGGTGGAATAGGTGGGGAGAGCAGAATGTCAGGCCACCGCTCCAGCCAGGCCCGGTTTCCCCAGCAACCACAACCAGCTCATCATCTACCTGATTCAAACCACGGGTCTCACATTAACTCATCAGCTCCACCTGCAACCACCTCTATATAACATCAGGGAAAAACACCAAGCCAGTGCCAGATTTTTGAGAGCATTTGCTAGTAGATTCTCCAGCATTCTAAAACCCTGCCTACACCTCCAGTTCCTGACCTTGCTTCTGAACCTCGACCTTGCCACCTGCCTGCTCCCTGACTGGATTATCTCATAGTTTCTGATCTTCTGGACTCCTGACCTTGGATCTGTTACATGGACTCTGCCTCTGGATTTCCCCTCCTGACCAAGCCTTCTGCTTCTGCCCTTCCTACAGACTGGTAACACTCCCCTGTGTGTTCTCAAATAAAAACTTTAAAGCGTCTTACTGTGTCTGGTGCTTTCACGGGTCCTCCAGCCCTGGTTGTCACAAATAAAGAAAGAGTGGTAAAGAAGGTCATACAAAAACCAGGTTGAACAAGTGAGTCTTCAGCTGCTTTTTAAAGGAGACCACTGAGTCCACTGATCTCAGGCTCAGGGGGAGAGAGGTCCAGAGTCTGGGGGCCACAGCAGCAGATGATCTGTCACCTTTGACCTTTAGCCTGGTGCTGCACAACCAGTAGGCTTTGGTCACTGGACCTCAGGGACCTGCTGGGGGTGTAGGGACTAAGAAGATCACCAATGTAAGATGGTGCTTGTCCATGTAAGGCCCTATAGACCAGAACCAGGATCTTGAAATGAACCCTGAAGGTGACTGGCAGCCAGTGAAGCTGGAGGAGAAGCGGGGTGATGTGGGTGTGTTTGGAGGACTTGGTCAGAAGCCGAGCACAGGCGTTCTGAACCACCTGTAGACAATAGACTTTTTCTAACAACGTTTTTGAACAGAAACTGGATTTGATTTTAGGTTTTCTCTGTTAAAGACAGGATTCAGTGACTTTACACACTTCAACAACTTATGCACGTCCTAAATGAACCTCTCTTGTATATTCTTGCATGTTTATCGCTTGCTTTTTCAGGAAAAAAATTATAATTAATTGCGATAAATTTTTTTCAGATTTGCGATTAATTAGTTTATTTTAATGGATTCCCAGCCTTGGTTAATGACGTACATGTGATCTGAAAGTAGATTACCTTTTCTGTCTTCTCCTCCGGCTCGTCTTCATTAAGAAACTCTCTCTTCGGGTAGGGGATCTGACAGCCAGCAAACACACTGCAGGTGAAACAGATCAGTTAAAGGAGCGTGTGTGTGTGTGTGGGGGGGGGGGGGTGATGTCACAAGTTCAGGAGAGCTCACTCTGTGGTTGGTAGGGGCTCTTCCAGGAAGTAGAGGTCCTGCAATGCCTGTTCTGAGGTGATTCTCTTTGTCGGGTCCATGGTGAGGAGTTTCTGAAGCTGCATGGAGAAAGAAGACTTTAGTACAGAGACAAGCCACCAGATGTTGGACTGTTTCCTCAGCGTGAGAGCGTATGAACGTTAGGACACGCTGTTTGTGAACGCGTTCTCCCAGCTGTTCGTCTGACTTTCATAAACTACTGATAAGACCAACACGTTATTCTGTCTGGTGCTTTCAGCGCTGCACAAATGCTACGTAAATGCTAAAAGTTTAGCTTACCTCAGCTTTTGTGGTCTCCTGTGCCACCGGGCAGCAGCAGCAGAGATCAGAGAAGATCTCTGCAAAATGTCCGCCACACGAGCTCCGTAGTTTTCAGGAGCTTTGCTTTTATTTTTACAAGTTAAGAGAAGAGGCGGACATGTTTACCAAATACTGCAGCAGTCCAAGCAAACCAGTTTCTTCAAATGAGTCCATTTTCAGTTAGCTGAGCACCGTGCGTTGTTGTGTGCATCAGTGATATTCGGCCTATGCTTGAAATGCAAGCTGTGATTAAACGTGTAAATAATCATAATTAACGCGTCTGTGACTGAATCCGGTTCTGTGAAGCAGTCCTGAACAGATCTCCACAGGGTGTGTGTGACAGAGTGAACCCCGGTCCCACATCCTAAACACTCACCAACAGAAAAACTTTGCTGTCAGGCTTGACTTTGTGCTTCTCCATGTACTTGATCAAGCTGCTGTTTGCATACCTGTGAGGAGAACAGTCACCTTGTGTGACGTTCAGTGAAAGAAGTTAAAAGTGTTCGACGTCCCAGTGTCCACTCACGTTGTCCTCCTGAAGTCTTTTTGCAGGGTGGGGTACTCGGGCATCTTCCTTATGTCCTCCCAGTCTTTGTCTACAAAAAACAAACCAACGAGCTGGTTTCCCCAAAACATCACACTCTAAATAAAGCCTTACACAGGTACTCACGATTACTCGTGTGTGTGTGTGTGTGTGTGTGTGTGTGTGTGTGTGTGTGTGTGTGTGTGTGTGTGTGTGTGTGTGTGTGTAGACCTGCAGGAAAACCCATGACGCTGAATATTCGGTCTAACTGGTCATGATGGAAGGGGTTACTGGTCTTGATGTCCTCCTGGCGACAGTGAAAGATGGGCTCTGATGTTAGGAGCTCTGCAAAGATGCAGCCAATTGCCCAAATATCTAACAAACACACACACACACACACACACACACACACACACACACACACACACACACACGCACAGTGATCAGCTGGTTTTGTCTTGCTGAACTCTCTGGGACCTATAATTTGTGTTTCTGCTCTTTGAGTTGATTTTTGAGTTCCTTTTACAGCATTTCTCGAGCCAAAAGTGCCTTAAAAATCTCTGCTAGCTTGAGTTAGCATGCAGCTAATCTCACGCTGATCTCCAACCGAGGAGAAACATGATCTTATGTAAGCGGCCGGCTCCGAACCCCAGAGCCACTTCTTATGGGCCATTCCCATCTGTACCGGGTCGGCCCGGGCCGGGTAGCCCCAGTCAGCCCCAGCCTGGCCCGGTTGATTCCACACATCCTTGCCTTAAGCCCATGTGGGCTGATTCTACCCACCAATCAGAGGCTTGCTCTAATGGAAGGTGTGAATTTGCTGTCAGCAGTGGGTGTGTTGGCCCTGGTCGGCCTGAAGCAGACCCCCTCGAGAAGAGGGCTGAGAATGAGCCTTGGTTGGCCCGGAAAAATACCAGGCCACCCAGATATGTAAACAGCGTACGCTACCCGGCCCGGGCCGACCCGGTACAGATGGGAATGGTCCATTAGCTTCTTGGGTAAGCTAAGTTAGCTAGTAGCTACATTGGTTCATTTGTTCCAACCCTGTTCCATTTGTAACAGTCCCACCCTCAGCTCTACCTCTTTTCCTATTTTGGACAGTCTGGGCGTGTGACACATTCAAAATGGCGGTGGTGGGAACCTCCCATTTTCTCTAAAAGACTTATCATTTGAGCCTATGGACATTATTTGTCCATGGTAAATACAGTATGCCGATGGTTGTAACATGTGATTTTGCGTAATTTCCTGGATTGTTTTCATGACGTCGTCCTGGACCAGGTCACTCTTGCAAATTAGATTTGACATCTTAATGAGTCTCTCACCTGGTGAAATAAAGAATATTCTTAAAAGTGTGTTTCTCATCTGATCGCCTCACTCTACTTTTGTCTTGGCTAAAGACCCCCCCCCTTCATGTGCCCTTTCATGCTGGTATTCTTCTATGTAGGTTAGCCTATAGCAAGATAAATAGTAAACAAACGTCTGGCCAAAGGTAAGTAGACGGAGGAGAAACAGGATATACACAAAGGCTGAAGAAATGGACAACAATGCTGCAGCACAGCTTATTTGGTATGTCTTGTACTGTTTGATGGTGTTACACGTTAAATTGTAACAATGACAGTATCAGAAGACCGATTCCACAGTCACATCACTTCCTGAAGTAACGGTGTCAGCTCAGCTGAGCCGTTTACATGCAAATAAAGTCAGGTTCCTATCGCATTGTCTGGATACCTCAGCTCAGTTAGTCAGTTCGCTTTCAGGCAGACAAACATGTTTACATGTATGTAAAAAACTATTTAGACCAACAATGTGGTTGTCTGACGTGCATGTAAATGCACTGATCGTGACATTGTTTGTGGTGTTATGTGTATTGACAAACAGGGACATGCAAACGTCTGCTCAGACTCACCTATAGCTTTGGTGTAGTGCCGGGCCCCAAGTAGCAGCTCAGGAGCCCGGTACCAGAATGTCACCACCACAGGATCAAGGTCTGCCAGCGGCTTCAGGGGGGAGTTGAACAGTCTGGCAAAGCCCATGTCAGCTGCATGGATGTGTAGACAAACAATGGGTTAGCAAAACAGGAAGCCGCACTTCACGTTCAGGGTGGCATTCAGGACCAGTAACCAAGAGAGTATGAACTAGCAAGGATGTGTCCCCCTTAAAATTGGAGATAAATGAATTTTTCCTACCCAGCAATGATACTGTGAAGGAAAGAAATGAGTTTGAAATATATATCACACCCTCTAATATTTCATTGGACCGCTTTTAGCTTTGACTAAGACACACATTCACTCTGGCTTTGTTTTGATAAACTTCTGCAATGTCACCAGATTTATCTCCATCTACTTTGCAATAATGTGTTACCAAGATCTTGCATTGATGATGGTAGTCTGACCGCTGCACAAAGCCTTCTCCAGCACATTCCAAAAATTCTCAATCGAGTTACGGCCTGGCCTGGTGGGCAATCCATGTGTGAAAATGATGACTCAATATGGACTAATGGTCATTATAATATTCAGGTAGTCAGCTGACCTCATTCTTGGGGCAAATCACGTTGCTGAACCTAGACCTGCCCAACTGCCGCAACCCCAGATCATGGCACTGCTCCCACAGGCTTGGACAGTAGGTACTAGGCATGATGGGTGCATCCCTTCATCTGCCCCTCTTCTTACCCTGATGCACCCATCACTCTGGAACAGGGTCAATCTGGAATCAACGTTTAAGTGATCAACAATAACGATCATTCTAGATTTTCTTCCAGACACATTTCTTCCTTGAAGACGATGACGCAGAGTTCAGGAGGGCGATGTCGAGGCAGCCGAACGATGAGACGCTGGCGCCCGGCGACGAGGATTCAGGAGCCGAGACCATCGACGTCTTTGGAGGCCTGCGACGTGGAGCCAGGAGCAAAGGCCGAGAGGATCTGGGGGACCAGCAGCGATGAGGCAGGAGTCGGAGAACACTCGGGGGTCGGTGGCGATGAACCGGGGACCAGAAGGCTCTGGGAGTCCGGTGGGAATGAGGCAGAAGCTGGAGGGCCTTTGGGGGCCGGCAGCAAGGAGGCAGAACCCGGAGAGCCCTTGGGGGCCGGCGGCGATGAACCAGGGACTAGGAGACTCTGGGAGGCCGGTGGCGACGAGGCAGGGGTTGGACGATCATTGGGGATGGGAGGCGATGAGGCTTTCCACACTGACAAAATTCTCAGCTCTACTGACTCTCAGAAACTATTTTCAACTTTCAAAACTCTGCTCACCCCTCCATCTCCACCTCCTACCAACAATCTATCAGCTGACACCTTTGCCTCATTCTTCACTGACAAAGTGGCAGCTATAAGCAAACAGTTTACTCAACTGGTCACTCCTGAACATTCACTACCACAAACTCCTTCTAGCCCAACCATCTCAAGCCCTGCTGCTTCATTTTACTATTTTTCCCCTCTCACTGAGAACTGTGTGTCCAAGCTTCTCACATGCAGCTGCCCTACTACATGCCCACTTGAACCCATTCCGACTAAGCTGCTCCAAGCTATTGCTCCTAGAGTAGCCGCAGCAGTCACACATGTGATCAACGCATCACTGACATGCGGTACATTTCCCACCTCTCTCAAGAATGCTCAGGTTAAACCGCTGCTAAAAAAAAAAACCCATCTCTTCCTCCAAATCATGTGGAGAACTACCGATCTATCTCTCTCCTCCCTTTTCTGTCCAAAATCATTGAAAGGGTGGCTTTCAAGCAGATCACAGAATACCTCTCACAAAACTGCTTGACCCTTACCAATCTGGGTTCAAAAAGGGCCACTCCACTGAAACTGCTCTGTTAGCAGTGACTGAATCCTTAAAAGAAGCTAGAGCAACAGGCAAATCCTCAGTGCTTATCCTGCTTGACTTATCGGCTGCATTTGACACTGGCAACCATGGCTTCCTTTTGTCCGCACTCTCTAGCATGGGCATCACAGAGAAAGCACACGCCTGGTTTGAATCGTACCTCACAGGACGATCATTCAGTGTATCTTGGCTTGGACAATCCTCTACCGTGCACCATCTTGACACAGGAGTCCCCCAGGGCTCAGTACTAGGACCTCTTCTCTTAGCCATATATACCACCTCACTGGGTGAGATCATTCGATGACATGGCTTCTCCTACCACTGCTATGCAGACGACACCCAGGTCTAGCTGTCATTTCCACCGGATGACCACACCGTCTCTGCACGTATATCAAACTGTCTCTCTGACATATCAACATGGATGAAATCCCACCATCTCCAACTCAACCTCTCTAAAACTGAACTACTTGTCATCCCAGCAAAACCATCCATACAGCACAATATCTCAATCCAAAATGATTTCCTACCTCTGGCTCCTTCAAAGGCAGTTCGAAATCTGGGTGTTGTGATTGATGAACACCTGACCTTTAAAGATCATGTTGCCTCTGTTGCTCGTTCATGCCGCTTTGCGCTGCATAACATACGAAAGATCAGACCATACCTAACACAACGTGCCACCCAGCTCCTGGTGCAATCTACTGTCATCTCCCGCCTCGATTACTGCAATGCCCTTCTAACTGGTCTTCCAGGCTGTACTGTGAGACCTCTTCAAATGGTCCAGAACGCAGCGGCGCGTCTGGTCTTCAATCAGCCAAAAAGAGCACATGTCACCGCTCTGTTCATTGAGCTCCACTGGCTACCACTAGCAGCACGCATCAAATTCAAATTGCTAACACTAGCATACAAAGTCCGAGATGGTATGGCTCCCATCCACCTGAATCCTCTTGCAAAGGCTTACGTCTCAGCCCGACCGCTCCGGTCATCACAGGATTGTCGGCTAGCAGTGCCTACACCACGCCCAGGACAATCCAGACTTTTCTAATGCATTGTTCCACAAATGTGGACCTGGCGCTGACTTGACTGGAGGCACTGGACCTGGCACTGACTTGACTGGAGGTGCTGGACCTGGCGCTGACTTGACTGGAGGTGCTGGACCTGGCGCTGACTTGACTGGAGGCGCTGGACCTGGCACTGACTTGACTGGAGGTGCTAGACCTGGCGCTGACTTGACTGGAGGCGCTGGACCTGGTGCTGACTTGACTGGAGGTGCTGGACCTGGCACTGCCGACTGGATTGGAGGTGGAGCCGCTGCAGGAGGAGCCGCAGACTGGACTGAGGCCGAAGCCTGTTGGACAGGCAGGGCCGCCGTCTGGGCCCCTTGGACGGGCGATGTCCCTTGGACGGGCGGAGCCCCTTGGACGGGCGAAGCTGTGGGACCACCGCTGGACCTAGATGCAGTGCGACCCCTTGGACCACCGCTGGACGTGGATGCAGTGCGGACCCTGGGACAACCGCTGGACTTGGATGCGGTGTGACCCCTGGGACCACCGCTGGACGTGGATGAGGTGCGACCCCTGAGACCACCGCTGGACATGGATGCGGTGCGACCCCTGGGACCACCGCTGGACGTGGATGTGGTGCGGCCACTGGGACCACCGCTGGACGTGGATGCGGTGCGACCCCTGGGACCACCGCTGGACATGGATGCGGTGTGACCTCTGGGACCACCGCTGGACATGGATGTGGTGTTGACTGGGCGCCGGTCACCTGACGAGCCTGCTCGCTGGTTCAGAGTAGATCCAGGAGTTCGGTCATCCTGGTCTCCAAAACGAAGATGGAGCGTTCTACTCTGAGTCGCCCTTCCTGTGTCGGCGTCGAGTCCATGTTGTTGCCACATTATTCTGTAATAAATGGAACTAGAGGACCGGTGATGACACCAAACACAGTAAGATGTTTTAACAGTCTTTATTAGCCTGAGCTATGAGGAGGTGTTACCTGAGGAATACTCAGGTAAGGGCAGAGTCGAAGGCAGGCGTGGGTCGAAGCCAGATCGGGACGAAGCAGGTACAAGGAGCAGGCTAGAGATGTGGTGGTAGACAGGCGAGGGTCGTCCTGGCAGGCAGAGTTCTTGGCGATGGCCAGTCATGGAAAGAGGTCGTGAGACTATGATCAGGCAGGAAAACAAAAGGCTGGAAGATCTACTAGCAGGAGCGTTCAATAATCTGGCAGAGTGCTGGTGGTTGACTGTGCAATATATAGCTGGTGAGGCAGGTGTGTGGCATGAGCTTGATGGTGAGTTGGCTGTGGTTGCTGGGGAAACAGGGCTTGGCTGGAGCTTGATGAGGGGACCAGGTGTGATGCATAAAGGCTGATGAGGTGAATGATGGTGCATGGAGGTCAGGACCTGGCAGGATCATGACAGTCAATTGAGCTTTTTCATCTGTTTTCTTAGCTCAATCGTTTTTCGGAGTAATAATCTACCTCATTTACTTAGGAGTACATCAGTAAAAAGGAAACAATAATATGGGTAAATTCCAGAGCAAACCAAGTCCCCAACAGGGGGACCAAAAATTTATGGAAAGAAAACATGGTGACAGTGGAAAATACAGTGGTGTGAAAAACTATTTGCCCCCTTCCTGATTTCTGATTCTTTTGCATGTTTGTCACACAAAATGTTTCTGATCATCAAACACTTAACCGTTAGTCAAAGATAACACAAGTAAACACAAAATGCACTTTTGAAATGATGGTTTTTATTATTTAGGGAGAGAAGAAAATCCAAACCTACATTGCCCTGTGTGAAAAAGTAATAGCCCCCCTTAAACAGTTCACCCTCACAGCAGCCAAAGGAATTCCTTTACAGTGATCACAAGTTTAGAAGATTTAGATTTGCAAATTACCAATTTTAACTCTTCCCCGTTCCGGACCTTCGCCCATCACCAGGATGTTCGCTGGTTTCTGTGGAAGACACAAACAGAGACTTTCAGAATTCAGTTTGGTTCTGTTCCTGCAGCATGTTCAGAGGTGGGTCAGGCAGGATCTGGAGGTTAAGGGTCATGTGTGAGGACCTTCTGTAAGTTCTGTTCTGGGTTAAATCCACCATCTCTTGGTTCTGTTCCTCTAGTTCAATGACGGTTCAGTCTAAACTAGGAGATACATAAGCTGAGAGCCCGGTTGTAAACCACGCCCACCAAAACAATGTCGGACTCCGTAATTTTCTCTGTCCCCCTGCCTGATCGGACCAGTGACGACATGTTTAGCCGCATGCTGTCCTTCAACCGCTGTCTGTCAAGGTGGTGTCCTGAAAACAACGTGGGCTACATTGATAATGGGAACATTTTCTGGGGAAAATCTGGTCTGATGCGGAGAGACGGCATCCATCCCTCTTTGGATGGGGCAGCTCTTCTTTCTAGGAACATGGCCAGTTTTATTAGTCCTCCATGACAACCCAGGGTCCAGACCAGGAAGCAGAGTCGTAGTTTAACCCACCCCTCTGCAGCTTCTGTACTGTTACCCACCCACTACCCCATAGAGACAGTGTCCTGCCCACGGCCAAAACCACACAGATTAAATATCAGGCTTAATAAAGTAAATGATGGAAATCTCATAAATATTAGAACAAATTCAAATGAGCAGAAAACTAGAAAAATTAAATGTGGGTTGTTGAACATTAGGTCTATTTTTTCTAAGACTGTTAGTTAATGACTTGATTTGTGATAATCAGATCTCTTTGCTCTCTCTCACAGAATCCTGGCTGCAGCAAGAGGACTATGTTAGCTTAAATGAGTCGACTCCTTTTAATTATTTAAATCATCATATTGCTCGAAGTACAGGGCGAGGAGGAGGAGTAGCAACCATTTTTCATTCAGACCTATTAATCAGTCCCTTACAGATTAATAGTTACAGTTCGTTCGTTCGTCCGGCCACCTGTCGCAACCTCTTTAACCATCAAAGATTTTGACACGTCGTCAAAACCCTTTTGCACCTACAAAGCTGAGACAACAAAATAGTTCCTGCAGAACAAAGCTGATATTATTAGACTCCTTAAGAGTCCTCCAGACGCACGGTTCCATCCAGCTGTCGTGCCCCGAGACATCTCTGGACTGAAGAGTCGGTACCATGGTGCCAGCGGTCAGCCGACCCGTGACTTTCGGATCCACCAAGAGGGTCTCTCAAAACGGGTGTAGTAGACATGACAGATTGTGTCTGATGGGTTTATGAAAGATAACAACTTCATAGTTTAGAGCAAACCGTATTCTTTTTCATCCGGAGACGCCGCTTTCCGAGAGTCGGCAGTTCTGACCAACATCACATTGACACATAGCCTTCATCACATTTAGCTCCATCCAATCACAGAAAATGCTTAGTTTACTTATCAAGTTTTAATTGTAATAAAATAATTTCTTACTTTTATAAACCTGACTCTTTTCTGAATCAAAACGCAGTGTGTATAATTACTTAATAAAGCAAAAATCCTAGAATCTTCTGACATTTACAATAAAGATCCAGCAAGGTAATACTTTATATTTATATAGAACATCACATCTTCCTAGTCATAAGTACAAATAAATAATCCATTTGTCTCCGCTGCAACCCTGATGAACCTAATCAGTTATTTAGATTGCAGGCTTGTCTTGAAGACGTAAAAAATTGGATGACTCAAAACTTTTTGCTTTTAAATCAAGACAACAAGACTGAAGTTCTTATCTTTGGACCTGAAATTCAGAAAAGGAAATTGCTTAGTCAATCACCTGACCTGAACAGCATAAAATTAGTCTCCGAGAACAAAGTAAGGAACCTTGGTGTTATCTTTGGCCAGGACATGCCATTCAAATCCCACGTTAAACAGGTTTGTAGGATTTCCTTTTTCCACCTTCGGAATATTGCTAAGATTAGAAGCCTTCTTTGGAGACCCTTATGTCTTCCAGACACAAAGGTTTTCTATGGGGTTCTGTCCAGGATCCCAGACTGACCTAACCTGCTCCTGAAGCACCGGAGGCAGTTGGACTATCTGGAGAACTTGTGAACGTTGCAGTACAAGAGCAATCAGTGGGTATAAGAAAATATCAAACATAAAAAGTAGTGGAAGACAAGGAGGAAGATTGGCAATAAGCATTAACCCTTTTTACAAGTGTCATGAACTGAACTAGAGGACCTGTGATGACACCAAACACAGTAAGATGTTAAAACAGTTTTTATTAGCCTGAGGCTAATAGAAGGCGTTACCGGAGAAACCTCAGGTAAGGGCAGAGTCGAAGACAGGCGTCATATTGCCTCAATGGTGTGTCTTGTAAACGTAGCAGTAGCTCAGGAGGTAGAACGGGTTGTCCAGTAATCGTAAGGTTGAAGGTTTGACCCCGGCTCCCGACAGAGAATTCTGCTGTTGTGTCATTGGGCTAGACACTTTACCCTCCTTGCTTGCTGGTGGTGGTCGGAGGGACCGATGGCGCCGGTGTCCAGGAGTCTCCCCTCTGTCAGTGTGCCCCAGGGCAGCTGTGGCTACATCGTACTTCATCACTAGGTGGAGTGTACAGCGGGGAATACTGTCGGTAAAGACGGCTCTCCCTTGCCCTGCCTCCAACATGCCTCCATCTAAAAGGCTAGGCTGTCCAGAGTCATTTCTGTAGTTATGCTGCTATAGGCTTAGATCCACTAGGATCAAGACCAGTGGCGGCTCGTCCATAGGGGCGCCGCCCCACCAGTCTCATAGATGGAAGAACAACAACGTAGAATTCACAAAATATATGTAAAAAACATGAAACTAAATCTCTTCATCATACAGACTACAAGTGCTGTGTATAATCTGCATTTAAGTGTAGTTTAACAATGTTATTTACACTTTTAATGTTACTGAATCGTCCTGTGACGCATTTCCTGTAACTTTTGGGCGCAGCAATCTCTACCATAGACCTACGGTAAATGGCGCATGTGTGCTGGATTCCCCCCTCCATTGCAAAGTACAGGAGGGTTCAGGGGTACTGCGTCTCAGCTCAGGTCAGGACAGAACCGGAGAATCTCCACAGTTCACCGTCCTGTGCGGTTGTAGAGCAACTGAGCTCACCTGGTGACGTTTTATTATCACGAAGAACCAGAAAATGATGGAATGTGGCGTCAGAGACTTTTGAACACTCTCCTGCATGTAAAACTGTGGATGTCTCTCACGACACCACCTGCAGAAACACTCCTTTACTGGCGATGTCTAGCTAATTGCCTATCATTTCCAGCTTTTGTCTGTTCCATTTGCACAACAGCAGGTGGAACTGGCACCAGTGATGCTTCCTAAGCAGACAGTTTGATTTCACAGAAATGTGAGTGACTTTGAGTTACATTGTGTTGTTTAAGTTTTCCCTTTCTCTGAGCAGAGTGCATCTATACGTATATGAAGCTGTAGGTTAACTTTCTGCAGGTTTCTGTTTTGGAAGTTCTCTCAGTTACTTTCAGTTTGTGCACATTGTCAGAGTCTGTGGAGCCTTCCTGGATACGGATCTTCTTGCCAAATATATCCTGTTGCTATGGTAACATCGCCAATACAAAGTCTATTATTCATGTCCACAACACGAGCCGCTGCAAGTGTAAAACACAGAGAAGCATCTCTGAGAAGTCAAAGCTCTCAGCTGAAGGAGCAGATTAGATCAGGTTTGTTAGAGAGAAGCGTGTCTCTCGGATACGCAGAAAAAACCAGGTAAGAGGAGGATGAGCACTACATTATCAGCCAGGGTGATGTCTGAAATTCTGCATCTACAATTAGTTGCTTCGATAAATAGACTGGGCAAAGCAAACACTGTCCTCAGGGACAACTGTTGAAATCAGGGTGCCAGCACTAGAGATCCACTCTCCCCCGTGGGGAGTTGAGCTGGGCTCCACCACAGCGGTGATGACTACTGCAGAAAGCAGCAAGAGCAGCAGCCCATCTGGGACGTGTTTCCTAGGTCTCTGCCCGACTGATGGACTCGTTGCTCCTGAGGCCTTTTGATCAGCTCTAGGTTTAGTTAAAGAGCAAGTCACCCTCTGCCAGAGTCTTACTCCACTCCCATTTCTTGTTTGAAAAATGCAACCAGTGCAGTTGCCTAGCAGACCGAGAGGGCGGAGCCGCTAACAAATACACACAGGCTCACGGCACTGTGACATCATAATGTACCAGCTAGCATCAAAGTGTACGTCTAGGCCAATACCACTGGCAGATAAAAATTCAAATTTAGTGCAAAGTTTTTATCTGAAGACGATGCAACACTGACAGTTTTAGGTAGATGCACCAGTGCTATACGTGCCAAATTTTACTGCAGCACAATTAGACATCATTTATTTGGTTTATCAGCAAAATAAGTTGTTTGGGGGTGACTTGCTCTTTAACTTGGTTCTGACACCCTCGGCCCAGTTTGTCTGTTATGGTCGACAGCTCTGGTCGCCACGTTATCTGCTGTCGAGCTCCGCATGGCCTTTGGTTTAGTGTCAGCGGCTGCAGGAGTAAAAATACACTGTTGTTGGACTTCCACTGTTTGAACTGCTTACGTGGGTTTAAGTCCTTAAAACGGTTACACTGAGTCAGATGATCACAGCAGCATGATGTAAGCAGAGGCGAATGACTGATAAGCTGAATTCCTGATGTTGTGGGGGTTGTGTGAGGAGCTAACCACATTTCACCACCCTCAGCAGGGGCAGAACAGGGTTTCTGTTGAAAGCTGCTCTACAGGCTGCAGCTGCTGAGATGTTTGTTTAGCAGTCCTCACGTCGAGCATACTCTTGTGTTTATATTTTTAATAAGTCACGGTGTGAATCAGACAATCTAGAGAATCACTAATGGTCCCACTAACGAGGTGGAAGGCTAGAGGTGGTCGGACCTGCTCTGTCCTACACTCTGGAGCGACCTCCCACTTGCTATCAGTCACTATCACTGCAGGCCTTCAAGAGTCACCTGGACTCTTTTTTATCGTTTGGATTTTATGTAATGCGGTATTTTG